TGAACGTGTGTCCCTCTGTCCCCAGCCTGCATGATGAACGTGTGTCCCTCTGTCCCCAGCCTGCATGATGAACGTGTGTCCCCTCTGTCCCCAGCCTGCATGATGAACGTGCACAAGCGCTGCGTGATGAACGTGCCCAGCCTGTGCGGGACGGACCACACGGAGCGCCGGGGGCGGATATACATCCGGGCAGACATCGACAAGGACGTGCTCACCGTCGTAGGTACGTGTGTGACTGGCAGTGTGTGACAGTGTGTGACACTGTGTGACTGTGGGACACTGTGTGACAGCACACCCACAGCCTGACGGCCCTGCAGGGCTGGGCAGCGCCGTGCCTGGCGTCAGCGCCCAGGAGCAGATGCCTGGCAAGGCAGGACAAGGCTTTGAGCCTCTCTGGGCACCCTCCTGCCCTCTGGCAAAGCCTGGCTGGGGCTCCAGGGGTTCTGTATCAACAGCAGTTACAGATTTTTCGAACTGCTTTTTAAATGCTGTAAAATTTCAGCATTTGCAGGACCCCAGGAAGGGGGAGCAGAGAGGATCCAACCAGCCATGATGGGCAGGAGCCATCCCACAGCATCCACCTGCAGGGATGTGCCCAGTGGTGGGAGATGGGGCTGGAGGAGCCTGCAGGGAGCCAGGCAGTGCCAGGCTCAGCAGAGGCTCCTTCCCTGCCTGGAGTGTCCCAGGGACCCGGTGGCCATCCATGGGGAAACACCTTGTTCCCAGTGCCAGTTTTCTCTGTCCTGAAACTTCTCTGTTCCTGGTTTGTGGCAGGAGACAGGACTATCCCATCTTTAAGGACTTTTGCCACCCAGATTTTGAGTTCCCAAAAGATATTGCTTCCCCCATGACCTTTGAGCACCCCCCCAAACATTAAGCCACGTCCTTGTGAAGCCTCCTGTCCCCAGCACAAGGAGATCAGAGCAGAGCTGTGGCTCTGTTGGGTGCTGGTCACGGGTGTGTCGTGGAGCGGGGGCTGGAGGCAGGGATTGCTCCCTGTGGGCACGGCACTGTCAGTCCCTCGGGGCTTGTCTGCCGGGGCTGAGCCGGTGCTGTGTGGGAGGGAGGTCGTGCCCACGCTGGTGCCCAGGCAGCTCCGGGTGCCGCGGTCTCCGCAGGGGCGGCCGAGCTGTCGCGGTTATTCCCGGATGAGTCAAAGCCGTGGGCTGTGAAGTACCCCCTGCAGTGCCCCTGAGGGGGCACCGGGTGGGACATCCATGGCAACACCAGATCCTTCTCCACCATCCCACCGGCTCCGTGGAGGAGTCTGGTTTCCACGTCCTGTCGCAGCGGGAGGTGCCGTGACAGCCCCAGGGTTGGTTTCTGTGGGATGGGGTTGTCTCCGTGCATCCCGGGGTGCTCCTCGTCACTCTGACGGGCACCTGTTCCCTGAGGAGAGCGGAGGCTGCCAAGGTCCTGCTGCTCTGGGCCCACAGGGATGGCTGCCGTGACCCAGCAGGGCTCCAGCCCTGCTCTGCTCCAGGGAGGGTGAGCCCAGCCAGCCCCCCCGGGGGATGGGAGGCCGAGGGCAGCGTTGGTCCATGGTGGGCACAGCCTCAGGAGGTGCCCCAGCCTGGGCAGGGGCAGCACAGGTCACCTCACCCACATGGAAAGAGGTACTCAGGTATGATCCAGGAGTGTGCAGGAGAGCCAGGATCCTTCTGGCCTACAGAACCATCAGGAGTATTCTCAAGAAAAATACCAAGTTGCTGAAGATGTTAATGAAAAATTGAAAAAAAGTTCTGGAGGATTTTTTAATTTATTTTTTGTTTGATTTGTCCTTAAAGGAGAGTGTCAGTGAACCAGGCAGAACTATGTTTCTCAGAAGTCTTGCTTCCCAGGCACCTTCCTGAATGTTGGACTTGGTGATCTTGGAGGTCTTTTCCAACCTTAATGATTCTATGATTCCCTCTGGGAGTGAGATGGGACTGGTACCCAGCCTCCATCAGATGCCAGTGGGGTACAGAGCTCACCCTCCCACTGGCACCATGAGTTCCCTGGCACTGTGTTCCCACCTCTCCCGAGGCAGGGGAGGAGCTCCCTTGGCCCCATTCTGTGCAGCTGGATTTTCATTTTTTCCACTGGCTTTGAAAGGCTGTTTTATTTCTGGCCCTTTATGGAGGTGTTGGTGAAAACATGTCAGCTGTTGGCTTTTCCAGAAGGCAGGGAAGCGTGCTGAGTTCTCCAGCTCTGCTGTGGAGCTGCTGGAGGAGTGGGATGCTTTGGGAGAGGAGAGGCTGGACACTGGGGAGCCTGGCCAGCCCCCCAAAGCATGGGTGGGCACCCAGCCCTTGGGAGATGGAGCCACCTCATGTTGTGCTGGGCACTGGGGAGGCCACCCCAAATCCTGGGGTCAGTTTTGGGCCCGTCACAACAAGAAGGACATTGAGGGGCTGGAGCATGTCCAGGGAAGGGAAAGGAGCTGGGAAAGGGGCTGGAGCAGCAGGAGCAGCTGAGGGAGCTGGGGGGGGCTCAGCCTGGAGCAAAGGAGGCTCAGGGGGGACCTTCTGGCTCTGCAACTCCCTGACAGGAGGGGGGAGGAGGGGGGGGTCGGGCTCTGCTCCCAGGAAACAAGGGACAGGAGGAGAGGGAACGGCCTCAGGTTGTGCCAGGGGAGGTTTAGGTTGGATATTGGAAAAATTCCTTCATGGAAAGGGCTGTCCAGCCCTGGCACAGCTGCCCAGGGCAGTGGCAGAGTCCCCATCCCTGGAGGGGTTTAAAAGCTGTGTAGGTCTGGCACGTGGGGATGTGTCTCAGTGGTGACCTTAGCAGGGGGAACAGTTGGATTCAATGATCTTGGAGGGATTTTTCAACCCACACAGTTCCTGCAGGACCTGCCTTGGCCATCCCAGGGGGGCACAGTGGGGCACAGTTGGAGAGTGTCCCCACTGGGGCCCCAGCCCAGCCCAGGAAGGCAGTGGGTGGAGGCAGCAGCCAGGATTCCTCTGAGCAGATTTCTGGTGGAAAATGCCCTTTACACGTTTTCTGCAGGAATTTCGGTTTGGGGCGGGCAGGGGGTGGATTTCTGTCGAGAACAGCAGTGACAGCGCAGTGGTGGGTGGCAGGGGGGTGCTGGAGCCCCTGAGCCTGGCAGGGGTGGGAGGCTGAGCCCCCCTTTGGTCCTGCTGCTCAGGGAAAAACAGGTACTGGCGGTGGGGCGAGACCTTCTCTCTGTGCCACCGGGGGGGAGACCCTTGCCCGGGAATTTCGGAAGCTTTCCCAAGGCAAAGAGGATCCCAGCTATGAAGTGTGAAGGGTGCCCGGTGCCCCTGGCAGGAGCAGGCAGGGCTGGCAGGGCAGGGCCGGTGCCTGCAGATGGCAGCACGGGCACGGCCAACACGGACCCACTCGGGGCTTCGGTTTCTCCGTCGCTTGACAAATTTAACAGGAATTTGCTGGATGCTGTTCAGCTCTGTGGGTTTCTTTTCTCTTACTCTAATTTTTTCCTTTTATTTGTAAAGCTGATCTTTCCCTCCCAGTGGAAGACACAGATTTTCATAGAATTATTGAATCCTGGAATGATTTGGGTTGGAAGGGACTCTAAAGCTCATCTCGTTCCACCCCCCTGTCATGGGCAGGGACACCTTCCACTAGCCCAGGTTGCTCCAACCTGGCCTTGGACACTTCCGGGGATGGGGCATTTATAGCTTCTCTGGGCAACCTGTGCCAGGGCCTCCCAGCCCTCACAGGGAAGAATTTCTTCCTAATATTTAGAATGTGGGCTCTGTGTCTCTGAACCCCCGGTGTGGGAGGGAGATGTGAAATGGGGCAGGAGCAAATGCATGTTCACAGTCCATGTTCTGCTCTGGGCTTTGATCAAGTGTCTTATTAGTGGGAAAAGACTAAGGAATAAAGCGGGAAATCACAGCAAATTGAAGTGTCATCAAGGCGTTGTGCATTTTGGCTTCCGTAACAGAAAAGCTTCCAAATGCAGATTATTCTGAGCCTGTCGTATTAAGGGACATGAATATTTGAGTCTGGGAAATGGAGGAGTGGGAGAATGTGAAGGCTGGGCTGGGAATCCATTAAAGCTGTTGCTGCTCCAAGATGGAAGTTGCTCTGAGGACTCTGTGCGTGGCTCCTCTCCAGCAGCCGGGAGCTGGCTCTGCCACGCGGGCAGGTGGGAGGTGTGTCCCGCCGTGTGCCAGTGCAGCCCAGCACGTGTTCATCTCTTCTCTCGGGGAAGTGCTGGTGTAAAAAAGAGACCTAAAAGGTAGAGAGTCAGAAAAGCTGTGGTGTTTATGCTGCGAGGTCGGGGTGTGTTTGGGCGATGGAGACTCTTCAGTGTGTCCGGGGCCCTTTGACCCCGTGCGTGTGAAGGAGAGTGTGCCCTGTCCTCGTGCCAGGGCTGCTGAGCATGGGGACCATGCTGGGTTCCCTCTTCTCTCCTGTGAGCCTTGGTACCGTGCCCTGGCCCCCAGTGGCTCCTGCGAAGCCGAGCCCCTCGTTAGCACCCATGGGCCCAACCCCCTGATGCTCCTGCAGCGTGGCAGAGGCTGCTGGGACAGAGCCTCGCTGTTTACTGAGCTGATTGAAGGAAAACATTGACCAAAACTGAAACCAATTATGCTGTGATTAGATAAACGAGCTGGAAGTGTGTTAATTAATAATCACCGGCCCAGGCAGATGCAGCTGTAATGAGTCCTGTGCCTTTTTCATTGTATGAGCGTGTGCAAATATATTCTTATCAGAGCATTAATTAAATGTTTTAACTTGTGAGGGTGTTCATCTGAGCGCCGGGCACTGACTGGGATGGGGCTGCTCCTGGCTGGGGATGGTGTGTGCTGCTGGAGGGAGGAAGATGAGTGCTGCAGGCCAGCCCAAGAGCCTTCCCCTCTCCAGAATCCCATCCAAGAGCTGTGGAATTGGGGGTGCTGCTGGCACGGCCATGGAGAAGTGATGGGCTGGCATGAGGTGGCAGAGCTCTGACCTCTCCTTGCAGTGAGCCAGGCTTTGGAAGGGTTTTTCATAGAACCACAGAATGGCAGTGGAGCGGTGTCCCCATTGCCATGGGAATGGTGTGGAGGAGGTGGGCACTGCCACCCCTGCCCCCCCAAGCCTCCTGGTCCAGGGATGTCCAAGACTTAAGGATGCCTCATCCTGCCCATGGCCTGAGGCCACAGTGGCATCTCCTTGGCCGCATTTGGTACCCACAGTGATTTAAGTCCTGCTTTAAATGGGATCGTAATATTCTTACTCATCACCGTTAATAATGATGTTACTACTTCCTAATGATGCACAAAACTGTCAGGGTATGACAGATGTAAAACTATTTTACATCAAATTTAACTGTCAAATAAATTCCATAAACACTGGCGAGGAAGGAGCGCGACTCTCCTGCTGTGAGGTATCACTGCTGTGCTGCTTCACGTTCTTATCTTCCCTTCACTTAATTGTTGATTTCTGCTTGAAAAGTTAGAAAGTTTCTTGAGGTCAAGCAGAAGCATTTTGTTTTTTTAAATGAATAGATAAAATTATTCCCATTAATGAAATTGTGAGGTCTGCACGCTGAGATAATAACATGAGGTAATCAAATCTCATGCTTCAGGGCATAAACTGATTAACTGTGAGGGTCAGGAATTACTTCTCCTGTTCCTTAAAGAAGCGAAGGACGGCCTGATAAACAATGGAGGGTGGTTCATTAGTCTCCAGAGGATGTTGTGTTGGCTGTTGGGATGGAGCTGATTCCGTGTGACATCGTTTTGCATCTCCTGTCAGCGAGGGGACACTGGCTGGTGTGAGACCCCAGAGCCAGCGGCTTCTTCCAGCCCCTGGGCTGGTTCTGCTGCTCACACAGGAGGTCTGAAGGGTCCTCAGTGGTTTCTGCTGACCCCAGGGCAGGTGAGGGGTGATGGTCACCAGGGAAGACTGTGCCCACTCTCCTGCCCCGGGCGCTGGGGTCAGGGTGGGCACTGTTTGGTGCCTGGTGCCACAACATCCCAATGTAGGTGCTTCTGTGAGTGGCAGTGGTTGTCCCCTACTGCAGGTGGGCAGGGGCACTGAAAACACATTTGTGTAATAATTTCAAGGCCAAGAAGGCAATAAAAAGCAGTCAGAGCTCAGGGGGAGGGTGTGACGAGGCCCTGGTTCAGGAGGGCACTGGGAGCATTGTTCCCTGTGCCTTGGCAGTGTGGGGGGTGCAGGCAGGGAGCCCTGGGGTGGTGGTTTTAAACTGACAGAGGGCAGGATTAGAATAGAAATTAGGAAGGTGTTTCTTCCCTGGGAGGGTGGGAGGCCCTGGCACAGGTTGCCCAGAGAAGCTGTGGCTGCCCCATCCCTGCAAGTGTCCAAGGCCAGGTTGGACAGGCCTTGGAGCAACCTGGGCTAGTGGGAGGTGTCCCTGCCCATGGCAGGGGGTGGCACTGGATGAGCTGTAAAGTCCTTCCCAACCCCAACTATTCTGGGATTCAGTTATTCTGTGACGGCATCCCCGGCGAGGTCCCCGTGTACCACGGGCAGGGATGAAGTCATTCCTTCCCCCTCTGCCAGAGGGGCAGAGGTGACTCTGGCTCCTGCAGCTGCCTCATCCCAGGCATCTGAGGAGCACGTAGAGCAGCAGGATGGCTGGGGCTGCCCAGCTCCTGCAGTGGCAGGCGGTGGTTCCCAGCAGGCTCACGCCTCTCCCGTCTCACGAGCTGCTGGCAGGGCTGTCACGTTTGATAAATGAGCTCGTTTATAAATGCAGATTTGCATTTTGGCTGCAAGTTTGATTCCATGGATCTGAAAATTGGGCAATGCTTTGGCAGGGCAGCATTAGGTGGCAGATTTTGGGGCATTAATTTGCTTTTCAAAACTCTCTGGTTCCCAACCTCATCAGAAGTGCCTTACTGGTGAATTGGGAAGTGGGCAATTGTTTTTACTTTTCTGACTCTAAAAGTATCTTCTCATGCCCTGTGGTGCTACACACAGAACCAGAGTCCTCTCCTCCTCCTTGAGATTATAGGGTGAAGCTGTGCCTTCACAACAGAGCTGCTGGTGGCGTCTGGTGGAATTTCAGGCAGCACTGAATTCCTGTTCCCAACATGGCACAACCCTCTGTGCCTGATCCCTGGGGTGTGCACTGGACCTGGGGAGGGGAGAGCTCTGCTCTGGGCTTCCTTGAAACAGCTTTTCTGCAGGTTACAGCTTGACTCCATCGTGGCCATCAGGCTTTCCATCTCTGATGTCTCCATTCGGGCTGGAGGGAAGATAAGACCCTTCTCCTGGCAGACAGACCCTTTTTGACTTAATCTGGGCAAAGAGCCTCAGCTCAGCCTGGCTGTATTTAATTTATCCAAGCTGCAATCCAATTACAAGCAACCAAGTCAACTCAGGTTTACTCTTCCCTCTCTCCTCCTGCTTCCCAGAGGAGACACTTCAGCTCCCAGAGCTGGGGTGATGCTGCCAAGTGGGCAGGTGATGATGCCCCATGGGCATCCCTCTGCTCCCTCAGGGCCCCAGCTGAGCCTGGGAGGGCCCAGTGGGGAGGTTGGTGCCTTTGGGTCCCTGCTCTCCCCTGCCTGGGGCATTAACGTTGCTGTTTCCTCTCTCCAAGGAAAGCTCCATCCCCGTGCTCCCACCAAATCAGTGCAATGCTGCTTCCCAGGGGCAAGAGGAAACAAACCAGCTTTAAATTGCTTAGAACTGAGAGCAAACAAAAACCCATCCTATCAGAAAATAAAAATCATCTCCTGAGTCGACCCTTCAGCCTCCCCCGTCCACGAGAGCTGCGTTTGCTCTGCGTTAATTATGTCGTTCCTCATGTAATGCCCATGTCTGCACAGATCCAGTTTAATTCTGGTTTTAATCACTATTTTCACACTTACTCTTGGCACGCAGGGAAGTTGTCAGTTGTCGGGTATTTTTATAGTTGGAATACTGAATTTAATCCTGTTTCTCTTCCCCAGTAAGAGATGCTAAAAACCTAGTTCCTATGGACCCTAATGGCTTGTCAGATCCCTACGTGAAGCTTAAGCTAATCCCTGACCCCAAAAATGAAAGCAAACAGAAGACCAAAACTATCAAGTGCTCCCTGAATCCTGAGTGGAACGAGACATTTAAATTGTAAGTACAAGGAAAATGTTTAAATTTGTAAACTGAATTTTCTCACCCCCGAGAATTAATGTGATTGTATTTGCTCTTATTTAATTATTCAGAGGCATTGAACTGATTCGACTGAGAAATGATTCTTTTTATTCAGTAAGTGACTCAGAAACACTCAAACCTCTACCCTGACCCCGATCAAAGCTGAGTGTTAGGGCACAAACTCTGTGCTCTCCGTGTGAGTCAGATGTGCTTGGGCAATTAAATACTGGAGACCTCAACAGGCATCGAGGAGCATCCCTTCACTTTGCATCCGTATTCCTGCAGAGCATGGGGGGACAGGGTGGTGTGGCAACATCTTCCAGGGTAAAACTGTCCCTGTTCCTCTCTTCCAGCCAACTGAAAGAGGCAGACAAGGACAGGCGGTTGTCTGTGGAGATCTGGGACTGGGATCTGACCAGCAGGAATGATTTCATGGGCTCCTTGTCCTTTGGGATCTCTGAGCTGCAGAAGTCGGGAGTGGATGGATGGTAAGATGTAATCGTTTCCTAAATACCATGGGCAGAAAGCAGCCCGGATCATCTGTGGGGGTGAGAGATGTGACAGCCCCTCGTACCAGCTCCCCTCTGCTCCAGGCCCACCTGGCCTGGCTCTGTGTAAGGTGCTGCTCCACCTCTCGGGCTGGAGAGGGTGGCTGGTGCTGTGTGGGGTGTCCATGGGGTGCCCAGAGGAGTCAGGACAGTGTAGGGGTGCTCAGCATGGAGTGGCTTAGCATCACCTTCTGTGTGTCCTCCTGCTCCTTGCAGGGTTGCTCAGGGGGCATGTGGGGCTTTTCCCTCCCCCAGACTCCCCTCCCAGCCCCAGGGTTGCTCTGCCTGAAGGGCTGGTGCTCCCAGGGGCTCTCACTGCGTGGGCTTTGGGAGGAGCCAGCATCACCTGCCCTCATCTGCCAAGGCAGCATCTTCCAGCATTTTCTGCTTGGATTCCCTCAGTTTCTGTACCAGGCAGGCACTGTGGCTTCCTCAGGCGTGTGGGAGAGCAGGGCTGTGAGGGGGTGGTGGTGGGGACACCTTGGAGCTGTGATTCCTGGCTGGAGCACGTGGGCTGCAGTGCCAGTGTGGAGGGCACAGCTCAGTACAAGGAGGAACCACCAAAGTGTGTAATTACCAACGCTCGTTACCACACGAGTGATGAACACAGCAGGGCTGTAACACCCCTCAGTGGGTCTCCATTTTCATTTTATCTCTCCCAGCAGGACACACAGTACCTTATTTCCCTGTTTTTTCCCCGGGCACTGGTGCCTGGGAGCTGTGTTACCTGTCCATGGCAAGTGTAATAATTGAAAAGAGATATTAGATGTCTTTTGGAAACCAACCCCTGCATATTGTTAATCTGCATTCACGAGCTGAGTGAATGTCCCAGACTGCATTTTCCCACCATAGAAGCTGAATGTGTCTCCCTTTGAGCAGAGAATGGAGAGGAGGAGGAGGAATTAGGCAGTCTGGGTACCCAGAGAGAGCTGGGAAG